GATGAGGTCAAGGGGTGGGGGAGAGCCTGGAGTGGTAGCCTGGAGGTCTGAAGGAAGAGGCAGGGACTTGGCAACCAGGCTTCCTGGGAAGGACAGGCCTGGAGTTCCTTCCCTTCTTGGCCTGAGAGGTTGCTTTTTTAAAATCCTCCAGCCCTTGTTCCATCTGTCTGCCTACCCCCTGAAAAGGAATCCACAGCAGATTGGAGATGACCAACCCCCCTCAACCCTAGGCCTCTGACAATATGCAGTTGGTATTCCAGGCTTGGGAGTGGGCTAGAGGGAGGAGACACGGCAACAAGGTAGAGAAGCACATTTTAAAAACACAGACAAGATGGCTAGGCCATCACCAACCAACTTACCTTCAGTCTCTGTGGGTAATTCCCCCAAATCTTGATTTTTTCCCCCCTTGCAATTCTCCTTTAAAAAGAATTAGAAAACATTTCAAAACCAGGGGCACCAAGCACGAACCCCTCCCACCTCCCTGAAGTCTCAAATGTCCTCCCATCTCTTTGAGGTCAATTGGGCACTCCCTTCTAGCACCATATTTTTCTGCTCTAGGACATTAATATCTACACCCCGACCCCATCAGTTACAGTTTTCAGAGGGCTCAGGGATGGTGAGAGATCTTGAAAGTCAGAGCTGTCTATATTATAAATATATATATTTTTTTCTTTTATGGAAAAGCTGGGAGGTGATTGTCAGGACTGAGGGTTTGCCCATTCTACTGCCTCCCACCCATCTCAGCTCCAGGCCCATCCCCCTCTTTCCACAAAAAGCAATCGGAGACACGAGGTTCTTCTACACTTTTTCTTCAGTTGCTCTCTTGACTTAACGTGAAAACAGGGTATATTTTAACAAACTGTCTGTCCCAGGCAGGGGCTGAAGCTGGGGCCTGTGTGCCTTGCTCAAGCCCCTGACAGGACACTTTCGTTGCACTTAGAGTTTACATTTTAATGGATATAAAAACAACTGTGAGAGATGCCTGCAGGAGTCCAGCATCGCTCAAAAAGTGTGTGTTCTAGTGAACATTTTCATATATATTTATTGGTCATAGCCTGTTAAAATATTTTCCTTTTTTTTGTATTATTTATCCCCTTACATTATGTATTTATACGAGGGAAAAAGGAAAAAAAAACTGTACTTTTTTTAGTATTTACTTGTTATAAAGGACGTGTTTCCTGTCATGTAAAACCAGCTATTTTAGTTATTATTGTACTCTAGAAAAGAGCTGTAGATTTATGTTAAACTCGTACTTATGAGCAATTGTAATTAGTTCTAAAAGGCATGAACTCAGCTCCTAATTGTCACTTGTATAGTCCTGAATTTGTAGAATTAGAGTTAATTCCCTCTTGGAACTTTCTTTGTTCTTCCGTAGTCACTTTTTTTCCTTACTTAAAAGGGTTGTCTGTCAAACAATTCTTGAATAAACTTTCTGTTATCAATTTTATCTTGTCCTGGTGGTCCAATTTAGATAGCAGAGGGAGGCTGCTGACTGCCAAATTTTCCCCAAGGGAATGAGGACACTGGAGACCCTATCTTGGCCTTTTCGCCCACTGCTCAGGCGCCGACCTCCCCTGGCTGTATCTCATGTTTATATAGCTTTTCTCATAGGAGCCTGGGACATCCTGCCAACTCCTTGAGCTAAGATTTAAGAAACAAGTTGGGAGGAAGGAGGACTCTTGGGTGCTCTAGGTCTTTCTGTTCGGCTTCTTTGCCTCTCCATTTTTCTCATTCATTGACCTTTTGTCTTTTTGCTCCTTTGACTACAACTTCCTTGCCCAGCCCCTGCCCCTACAC